ATTTTTTTCTACCCACAAACCTACGGGGGTTGAAGATAGTGGCTGGATTTCCACATTACTAACCTGTGAGTTGCACATTTCCCCCGAATTCAATTTTACCTCTCAACTTTCAAGAGACCCCAATTTATGTTGCTGAAATGTGGTGGCACCTTGCCAAATGTTGGTGACTCAATTTCCCATTGAATGGGGAGGGGAAAAATAAGAAACACTAAGTCTACATGTAAGCTTCGTACATTTCAAATTGCAACCTTCTTCTCCCTACCCCCCAAATTACTGATTGCCCCCAAACCGGCAGCCTTCATTACATATTGTGCAATTTCATTACGTATTATTTTCACCACTTGTGCTCCACCCTGAAAAATGGTTTCTAAAAGAGTAGCCCCATCACAAAAAGTTGCCTATTAACACTAGCTAAAATCTGCTTTAATCTTTGTATTGTTGAATAAAACAGTGTCTTGACTCACAAAACACTAAACCAGAAAAATCCATCCCCAACATTTTTATCCCATCTTTAGCCTAACATCCAGATTTTAAGGACCTACGAGATGGTGCTTATCCTAATTTACTAACTAGGCCCACCGGTCATGCTAAGTTATGGTTGGTTGACCATGGTTTATTGAATTAACCAAAACAGGCTGGATCCACACAGCACATTCAAACCATAAAGCCTGAATTATAAACCACACTGCGATGAGCAAGTCTTTCTCTTTCTCTCTGTGTATATATTTGCGTGTATATAGATATATATTCATATTCATATTCTCAGAAGCGCCAACATGTTTTCTTTTGTTTTATCCTAAACCTGAAGCTAAATCTGAATCTGGCTGGAATCCAATTGACAGTGAATAATAATAATTAAAAAATTACACACCCGGAAGTGGAAAGAGATAGGATACTGATGTCACTACTATTCACGTATGGTTAAACAGAGAAGCAGGTGGCAGGAAAGTTCTGTGTCAGAGAGCCTGAAAAGTTTGAAAGGTTGCAGGACAAAGGTGGAGAAATGGACTTCCAGGGAAGAAATGCTGAACTGAAGACGTCTCCGTGAAAAGCAGAGCCGACAATTGTAGCAGAATGAAGAGCCAACGAGTGGATCTGCTCTTCGTAATTCCTCCCTGGACAAGGAAAGGACTTGAGAACACAAGTGCTCCAGACAGTTGCTCCTCATGAGGAGACCACAAGACAGTATCTCTACTGTCTACTAAATCTCTAGCAGGCAAGAGGGCATGCATGAAAGTGTTCATAAACATGGAAGAACCATCGAGATGGGACATCTTGGAACTTTGATTCAGAGATTCCATTCATAAGCAATTTGATCAAAATTCCAACTGATTTGACTTACCCCAAGCTTTTTCCTAATTGCTTCAGAACATCAAATCAAATCAACCTCGTTTTCTGAATTGCATCAACAATCCTAACTAAACTGGCAAATTGGATTAAAGCCAATTTAACTTTCACAGGCCATTTCACACACTGAAAACACACCAGACTCTTAGGAGAAGCTTTCTATAGAAAGATGAAGAAGTAAGACTTGTTGATGTTTCCCAAGACTCAGTGTGACATTTGCTCTTCAAACATCACCTGCTATTAGCAATGTACTTCTCTGAAATCAGATTGGTTCACATTATGGAGATCTGGATATCCATGTGCATGAACAAAAACATTAGGGTAGATTTTTCTTGTCCTCTAGATCAGAATATCGGTGCTTAACAAAGAATGAGAGCTTTGAATACTTTTTAAAATGATTATTGGGCTTACGAAAAATGCCCCTTTAATTCATCTAAGTTTCTTTCTCTGAATACTTACAGGTATATGTGTTCAAAGGGAAAAATGTTCCACAGAGAGAAAGATAATCATTTCAAAAAATGTTTCTCATAGTAGAAGTCCCATTCTCCACTTATAGAGGAGTAATGGAGATAACCTTGAAGAGGAAACACAAGAGCAATTATGTAAGGAGATGAGAAAGAAATTCAAGATTGGCTTGCCTTGATTCTCTTTGGTATAAGAATGCAGAGTGGGGGAAAAATCTCTGTCAAGCTTCCAAAATTGTGTTATTATAGCCTGCAACAATTAAGGAGAGTTTCAGTAGTCCTTGTGAAGTTTGTTTTCTGACCTAGCCGAATTTGAAGGATTGATACCATCCAACTTAAGTCTTCTAAATTCCACTCACTGTATTTACGTACAAGGAAAATTAAAAGAAGAGCAACGTTGGGGGGGGGGGGGAGTAGAAACAAACAAACAAAAAAATATTTCATTAAAAAAGAGAGTCTAATTTTCATACAGTTTGGCTCCTAAAAATTGGAATAACTAGGAACTGCTCAGATTAACCATTTTAAACCGCAAAATCCAGATGCATTAGCTGCATAGATGCACACATAGAAAGGAAGTAAATATTTTATAATTTAGCTGTTAAATTTTCTACATAATAACAAAGAACACAATCACATTTATTATTTACTACATGCAAAGTGTAAGGACAAGGAAGAAGGATGGAGGTCCTGCCACTGCGTGTCCATACAATGTTCTGTCCTGCTAACCTTGTTGATATCTTATTGACAACTTCCTGTATAGACACAGAAAGATTCTTCCAATGAAATTATTTCTATTTAAAAAGGAAATTTGAAAAAAAAAAGAAAAGAAATGGAACAGTTCTGTTACTAAGGAAACCCAACTATTGGAGGGAATTACGCTATAGGATGTTGAATTGGTTGGCTCATCAGAAAGGGTAATTAATAAGAATATTTGCCTACAGTTGACATTCCCATAACTAATTTTATTAATTATCTCATCAATTCTATTGGTCGTCTAGAATGCACACATATGAACTCAGGCGACTTTACTCTTTCCTGATTGGTGCCTTTGATGTATATTAGGACTACAACTCCCAGCTAACATGTCTCAAAATATACTTAGCTGGGAATTCTGAGTTGCAGTCCCAAAACATCTTACCTGCAGCATTTACTCAACTTTTTGGTTTCAGAGGCTGTGTTCACATAACACACTGATCCAAAATAGTTAAAAATCAGCCCTTACAGGTTCACAACATGTTGATCTTGGTTAGTTACAACTTTGGGGTTCATTTGGTGACTTAGCAGGTTATCTAAACCCAGAGTGCTTAGTTGGTTTGGGTTGACTGTATTGTACGCATCCAGAAAATGAGTTCATTCAGTAACCAGCTTATACCGTATTTGAGAACTCAACTGGTTTTAATCAGTCAGTGGAATATTTTGGGTTTAAAAAAAAATTAAACTGAATAGCTGCTATACAGGAAGCATTTGGAGAGACAGCCATGGGCAGGGTTTGATTATCACTCCCAAAATGTTAATCTCGCCCAAAAGAACTTCTTATAAAAGTGCAGTTAAGTCTTTAAGTCTAAGACTCCATTCAGGCCAAGGAAGTGTTTTTGAAATCCGAGTTGCTGGGTTTAATAGGAGAGGGGGGAGTTTTCAAAAGTCAAGCATATTTTGAATGTGTTTTATTTGTGTGATGCTGCAAATGGACGTGTTAGGTGAACAAGGGTTTCAAATGAGTGTGTGTATCTGGAAAATCTTGCTTGAGGGCTATGTATAAGCCGGTGTTGTCCAAACTTGGCCACTTTAAGATGAGTGGACTTCAACTCCCAGAATCCCCCAGCCAGCATGGCTGGCTG